CTCTATCAAGTACCCACTGAGGCTTGTAGGGATAGTACAATTTGCATTAAGATCACTTTCGTCTACACATTATTGCCTGATTTTTAAGAGGCTTTCAAGTTTATTCATTGGAAATCATAGTTCTGATTTTACGACTATTTTCACTTTGAGAAAAATATTTATATTTTTGTCTTATCATGCTAGGATCAGAGACTGGTTACTTTGAAATTAAATATCTTTAGAAAACGTTATTTCAAGATGTCCCCACCAGCATCCCTTCATGTTACACCGTGTGGTACTGGGTGTGGTGTACATTCTGAAGTTTTCCAGCTCATAACTGTAATTCCAGTGCTTTGGGAGGCCAAGGCGGGAAGATCGCTTGAGGCCAGTTTTGAGACCAGCCTGGGCAACATGGTGAAAGCCACCTATACAAAAAATTTTCAGGTGTGATGGATTGCACCTGCAGTCCCAGCAGAGATGGGAGGATCGCCTGAGCCCAGGGAGTTCAAGGCTGCAGTAAGCTGTGACCATTGCCATTGCTATCCAGCCTGGGCGACAGAACGAGACTCTCTCAAAAAACAAAAATCAAGCAAGCAAGCAAGCCTAGGCCAGGCACAGTGGCTTAATCTGTAATTCCAATACTTTAGGAGATCCACACAGGAGGATCACTTAAAAAGTTACATGGGAATGGTGGTGCATGCCTGTGGTTCCAGCTACTCGGGAGGCTGAAGTGGGAGTTCACTGAAGCCCAGGAGTTCAAAGTTGCAGTGAGCTCTGATGGACCACTGCACTCTAGCCTGGGCACCAGCGAGACTATCTCAAAAAATATTTTTTTTAAAAAAGCAAGCCCATAGGGGCACACTTTCTCAAGGTCTTCTGAGGGCTATGTCACCAGCAAAAAAAAAAAAAAAAAAAAAAGGCAAGCCTATGATCCAAGCTTCCCAACAAGTCAACCACCCCCAGGGGAAAGAATCTAGCATTGTATTTATAAACATTAATGTAAGTTTTAGGGAGAAAATTTTAAAATGTTTAAAAACCTAAGTGTTAAGCCACACTGCCAGCTGTCTTTGGAGATGTTAGAGCTAGGTCTGCATCCTGGCTGTCACTTCCTGTGTGACCCTGGGCAGGAAAATTACTTAACCTCTAATGCTGTCTCCTCATTTTGTAGATGAGGCACTAACTACATACTCACAGGGCTATAGGATTAGATTAAGGCATGAAGCATGGTGCCTGGCACAGTAGATGCTCAGTAATGGTGGCTGTTATTGGCTAATCCCAAACTCAGCATAAGCCAACAATATGACAAGACTTACATTAGCGGTATGCGGATTTAGGGAGATTGTTGCCTCTCTAGCCTATTTTGTCTCCCTTTGATCATATCAGCATTTAACCCTTGCACAAGTACCATAGCTCATCCTAGAGGTTTTAATGGTCTGCGATGGGGTCAGGCTTTGGGAGTTTGCGTAAGCTTCCCAAGTGCAGCCAAACTTGAAGACCACTGCTCTACATTCTACTATATGAAGCGCAGGTGAAGTTATGAAAGGCAGACTGTTCTAGATGAAAAGTGGCCAAAGAGACAAATGCCACCATGATACTTAATTATATCTTGGGTTGGGGAGGCTATAAAAATCATTTTGGAAATTTTAATATGAACTGCATTATTAGATACTGTGGCATTGTTACTTATCTTGTGTACTAATGATATTGTGGCTACACAGAACATCTGTAGTATAAAAAGAATGCTCAACTGTTTAGGGGTGAAATACCATGATGTTTGCATCCTACTTTCAAATGGTCATGACACTGTGTATATAGAAAGGGAAAGCACACACAGCAGATACTAAATACCAGCAAAGAAAAGGGTATGCAATGTAGTTTCTTACTCTTTTAACTTTTCAATATATATATATATATATATATATATATATATATATATAAACTTTTAAAAATAAAAACTCATACTAACACTGGTCACCATGCTGTGAATTATGTGATGGCTAAGCCCACGCTGGCTATTAAGGCATCACTACATTCCTATTGTATGGTTCTCCTGTTCAAAGAACACTCCGTGCTGCTCTCTCACATGTGTCTACACAAAACAACACAACAAAAACTGTAAGGCCTATAGAAAAACGGGTTTAGGTGTGCAACACTAAAAATCTTTGTGACACATAAAAAGGTAGCAGTTTCAAACATGTCAATGGTTAAGAAACATATAAAGCAGTCTCCCTTGACCTGCAGTTTGCAGGGAAAAACTCACTGGACCGCCCACTCAGCTCCCATACCACCACCCTATGTGAAGAGGAAGAGAACAAAAGATAAGACAAAGCGGGAGAAAAGATAGGAAAAAAAGCAGCTCAGTGGCTCATGCCTGTAATCCCAACACTTCGGGAAGCTCAGGCAGGCAGATTACTTTGAAATCAGGAGTTTGAGACCAGCCTGACTAACATGGTGGAATCCCATCTCTACTAAAAATACAAAAATCAGCCAGGCTTGGTGGTGTGCACCTGTAGTCCCAGCTAATCGAGAGGCTGAGGCAGGAGAACTGCTTGAACTCAGGAGGCAGAGGTTGCAGTGAGCCAAGGTCTCATCACAGGACGCCAGCCTGGGTAAGAGTGAGACTCCATTTCAAAAAAGAAAAAAAAAAAGATTAGAAAAAATACAAATGAGGCTGAAAGGAAAAAGGAGAATAAAGAGGGGAGTATGAGGCATAGAGCCCTGATGGCCAATGGAAGGGCTGCAGCTTGCAACCATGAGATGAGGCGCATGGTTCTCTGGAATCAGATGGGAGGTGGTACACCACAAAGGGACCTGTGCCTTGTGTGTTCCTACGCAGCTCAGTTCAACTGGATGTGCTTTTGTGTTCACCTAATGCTTCCCCTAGGCAAAATTACACTTAATTCATTATACTCAGAGCATGCTAGCAGAACCGCCCCTCCACCAAGGGCGCTGACTTGGCCCTCTCCTCAACCCTAGACCATAGGCCCGCTTACATCCCTCCTGATTTCTACCGAATGCTAAGCTCTAGCACTGCTCCCTCCAAAGTCATCTTCTTTAAAGGCAGAGGATATCAGTATGTCAAGCTAGGGAAGTGAATATTGGTAGTTTATTTTCAGTTCCCAAGCAGGTCATCTGGAAAGGGCTCATAGTCTAGGCAAGCTGTGTGGCGGCCACTATCTACCAAGAATGAACAAGGCCTGCCACTTCCACCTCCCAACTCTGAGTAAAAATGCTTTTCAACTTTGTGATAAGAAAGAAATGATAAGCCCAATATGCAAGATTTTTCCACCACCGTTTTTCCAAAGACAAAGTTTTTTTGTATCAATCTTGATGTATTTATTCACACATTTGATAAAAATGTCACAGTTAGGAGTGAAATCATTACAATGACATGAGTAACTGTACAGGCAGACCTCAAGTGCAGAATCAAATTTCCGTCAGAACATGGAGCAACCATAACTCTTTTGTACCTGTGCGTGTGTGAGCACATGCATGCACACACACACACATACTCTCTCTCTGTCTCATGCACACATCCATCCACACCCCAACAATCACAGGTGCTAAGTTTGGACATAACCCAGGGACTCTTCCCTGGCTTCTGTCAGGTCCTGGGGAGAAGAGAGAAGCAATGAATGAAACGCCGCTGGGACTGCTCAATGCATCTCTCTGCTCTTCCAACAATGACTCTGAGAAGGCAAGACATACACTGGGGCAGCTACTTCCTTGGCACAAAAATGAACAGGCAACAATAAGGTCAAGGAAGGGTTTAAGTTAGTCTCAAGTTTAAATCACTTTTCTTTATTTAAGAGATGGGGGTCTCGCTATGTCCCCCAGGCTGGAGTGCAGTGGATCACAGGCGCGATCCCACTACTGATCAGCACGTGAGTTTTGACCTGCTCCATTTCCGGCCTGGGCCGGTTCACCCCTCCTTAGGAAACCTGGTGGTCCCCTGCTCCCAGGAGGTCACCATATTGATGCCGAACTTAGTGCAGACACCCGATTGGCATAGCGCACTACAGCCCAGAACTCCTGGGCTCAAGCAATCCTCCCACCTCAGCCTCCCAAGTAGCTGGGACTACAGGCACACACCACTGTGCCCGGCTAAATCACTTTTCAACACCACAAAACAGTAGCAAGCAGACCAAAAAAAACAAACAAACAAACAAACAAAAACCTCTGGCCATCAAGACTCCAGAAGAGAGGGAGGGAGGAGGATTTAAAACTTGATCCTTGCTTATTCTCCTAACAAACTGTGGCATGACCATAAGCAAAACCAGCTGGGCCTAACGGACAGCATCTGATTGTGAAATCTATCCTATTCTGGCTCTGAAAAGAGTCAGAAAAACTTTTTAGAGGAACATGACGGTAACATAAACCACATCGCCGCTATATTAGTATTTGCAGCAAGATTACATCTATGCATTCACACAGCTTGTCTACAGATCTGAGAGCTCCAAGGGACTGGCCCAGCCCCCATTCCTCCACCTTTAGCATTCTGAAAAGAACAAGTCAAACCTGAAATGAAAAATAATGTCTGCATCAAAATGGTGACCCTTTCTATACAATGGGACTAAGGTAGAATCCCACTCAACTCCTCAACTCCTTTATTTTGACATAAAATTAAAAATTTTTGGGGCCGGGCGCGGTGGCTCAAGCCTGTAATCCCAGCACTTTGGGAGGCCGAGGCGGGTGGATCACGAGGTCAAGAGATCGAGACCATCCTGGTCAACATGGTGAAACCCCGTCTCTACTAAAAATACAAAAAATTAGCTGGGCATGGTGGCGCATGCCTGTAATCCCAGCGACTCAGGAGGCTGAGGCAGGAGAATTGCCTGAACCCGGGAGGCGGAGGTTGTGGTGAGCCGAGATAGCGCCATTGCACTCCAGCCTGGGTAACAAGAGCGAAACTCCATCAAAAAAAAAAAAAAAAAAAAAATTTTAAACTAAGTTTAAAGGCGATGTTTTGAGCATCAAAAAGCTACTATCTAAAATGATTAGTCTCCCAGTGCTCTTGGTAAATAGGGATGGTTAGGAAGGAGGAAATGATCCAATGAATATAGAAGAACTGGCTGATTCAAAGGAAACTGCTTTGGATAAGGTGAATCAATGGGTGGTATTGTGCCAGCAAGGAGGGAAATTTCTTGGTACAAATTTCATGTCACTGGCCAGGCATGGTGGCTGACACCTATAATTCCAGCACTTTGGGAGTCCAAGGCAGGAGTTCAAGACCAGCCTGGGAAACATAAGGAGACTTCAACTCTACTTAAAAAAAAATTCATAACAACTTCATGTCCCTAGAGATAAAAGCAAGGTGCAGACAAGGCACTTAACACAGCCAAGTATCATTCACACCCATTGACATCAAGATTGTTACCAAGAGTACTCCCAGTAGCCCCTCATCTGAGAGACTTTACCGGCCAACTACACTTTTCAGGTGGACCTGTAGAACTGAAGGAAATCCAAAGTGCTGCACAACTGATGGGATTTGGAATGTCAACAGAGGAAACTACTCAGAGAAGCAAATGGAGGTCATCCCCTTCTGGCCTGAGGTGAGAGGTTTGTTCCAGATTCGCTCAGTGAGATACCGAATTTCAAAATAGTTGGCCTGAGAATATGACAACACTCCCACAAATGTAGCCTTCTTCTCTTCTGGTAAGAGCACAGGGCTCTGAATAAAATGGGACATCAGTTACTGAATTATCTTCTTACACTGGAAGTTAGAGCAGATGCCTTCTAATACATGTGGCATGTCCCCGTTCTGTAGCAGTGATAAATGACTGAGACAGGGCCAGAACGCCTGTCCCTTCTTATCCCAAAGCCTGTCAGGCATACTCAATCCGAGCAGGGCCACAACTGCCCTCGTTCTTTCGCTCAGAGGACTGGCTGGTGGCCTTGGCTTCACTACTCATTTCCAGAGGCTTAGCCGAGATGTAGTCCTTTACTTTAATCTCCATATTCTTGGCTTTCAGAGTGGCCATGTGCAGCTTCTCCAGGAAATCTGGCATGCCTGTCAGGAGACAGGAATCAGGTTAAGCTGACATATAAACCAACAGTAGGCTCAAAATTAGAAGACCCCATTTCTTTGATGGTAGGGAACTAGCTCTTCCTTATAAAGATCATAGCCTGACTGATAGCCTGTGAATAACAGCTGCCTCCCAGAATGTGTTCCCAAAGCATGCATTGTAAAAACAACCCATGATCTTTGTTCCTTCTTTGAAAGGAGGTACTAATCAGGACACTTAAGTCCCAAAAGGATCTTTTAATCTAAATATCACTTATCAGTGGCACGGCTAAAATACCTGCCAATTTTATTTAGACAAATGTCAAACAGAAACACCTAATCTCTCTGTTCTCCCCTGAAGCATGTAAGAAGCTGCCTATAGAGAACCACAAAAAAGAAAATCACAAGTATGCTTTCTCAGACAAGAAGGTGGAAGGGAAAGCTGCAGTTATAGCCATGATGTATATCCTTTGTTAAGACAAGTGCTCCTTTCCCCAGGTGACTGCCCTATGATCGCCATATTTTCCATCTTATGGCCTTCAACTATTGAAGAAGAAAATTTAAATATGTTAATCTACACAGTTCATATTTAAGGCATTGAAGCAAATGTTTTTAAAGCTCTCCTCTGGGTACAAGTTCCTTTCTGGGACTCTGTAATTCTCATCCCTTCAATCTCCACCTGGAGTCTTTGGTATCATCATAGTAATTCAAGAATGAACCAGAAAAGGGTTGGGCACGGTGGCTCATGCCTATAATCCCAGCACTTTGGGAGGTTGAGGCAGGTGGATCACTTGAGTTCAGGAGCTCAAGACAAGCATGGCCAACATGGTGAAACCTCGTCTCTACTAAAAATACAAAAATTAGCCAGGCATGGTGGTGGGTGCCTATAATCCCAGCTACTCAAGAGCCTGCGGCAGGAGAATCGCTTGAACCTGGGAAGCAGAGGTTGCAGTGACCTGAGATCACACCATTTCCACTCAAACCTAGGCAAGAGAGTGAGACTCCATCTCAAAAAAAAAAAAAAAAAAAAAAAAAGAACCAGAAGAGACGTTTAATTTCCCCAATAGGACTCCAGTGAGACAAGTACTAATCTTGCTGCTGTTAAGAAGATAGAGAAACTAAAATGCTTAACACAGGCCCTGTATACTTGCCCTTACTTACCACTGGAAACCATCCAACTAACACAGTAGCGGGGAAACACTGTTTGGGGATTGTCACTGTATGTCAGTAAGTAGTCAAAGCCATTCTGGAAAAGAAAAACAACAAAAATGAAGATCCCTGAATCACTCACCACAACCTCCATATCCAATATCATAGAATAACTATAATCTGATTCTGGAGCAGGGAGTGTCATTTCTTTTTTTTACCTTGTGCAGAAAAGAGTTAACACCAAAGGCCTGAGACACTACTATCTATAGAAAGGCCTGCTTACAATGTTGACCCTTGGCCAACTTGGCTCCCAGAATGCTCCCAGTCAACAGTTAGCTGATAAGGCTGGCTCCCTGTACCTAGGCTATGCAAACAATGTGATTTATCCTGAACACAGGCTTTGCTTTTGGGGGTCTTGAATTCTGGTATGTGCTAAGCAGATGGCACTAAGTAACCAGCTCCCAATAAAAACTTTAGGTGTGAAGTGGGCATGGTGGCTCCCGTCTGTAATCCCAGTACTTTAGGAGGCTGAGGCAGGTGGATTACTTGAGGTCAGGAGTTTAAGACAAGCCTGGCCAACATGACAAAACTCCATCTCTACCAAATATAAAAATTAGCCAGCCGTGGTGGCACACACCTATAGTTCCAGCTACTCTGGAGGTTAAGGCATGAGAACTGCTTGAACCGGGAGGCAGAGGTTGCAGTGAGCCAAGATCAAGCCACTGCACTAGAGTCTGAGCAATAGACTCCATCTCACAAAAAAAGCTTTGGGTGGTGGCTGGGTACGGTGGCTCACGCCTGTAATCCCAGCACTTTGGGAGGCCAAGGCAGGCAGATCACTGAGGTCAGGAGTTCCAGACAAGCTTGGCTAACATGGTGAAATCCCGTCTCTACTAAAAATACAAAAATTAGCCAGGCATGGTGGCACGCATCTGTATTCCCAGCTACTTGGGAGGCTGAGGCAAGAGAATTGCTTGAACCTGGGAGGTGGAGGTTGCAGTGAGCCAAGATCGTACTACTGCACTCCAGCCTGGGCAACAGAGCGAGACTCTGTCTAAAAAAAAAAAAATCTATATTTCGTACACAGTATGCATATCCTGAAGACAAAAAGACACACAAATTTTTATTCTTCATATTACTGGTGATCACATTATATTGTTATTCTGAGGCTGTGTATTTCAACAAATGAGTAGTTAGTTGTGTTAGGGTTCCTGGGAATTTAGTTCTACAGTACAGGGAAATATAAGATACAAGATAGAAACAAAAACTCCGTAATCCTAAATTTGAATGAAAAGTATTAGTATATACTTAAGATTTGTTTTATCTTAAAAATAAACATACAAGAAAAATGTACTACTTGGTTCTATTTTCTGAAAAGGCCTACAAACGATAAACCTTGTAGCTATGAGTACCATTAGCAGCCAAATTCTGGTATTTAAATACCATTTTCCAATAAAAGGAACTAGAACTCCCTGAAGAAATGCTAATTTCCAGGTTTAAAACTAAAAATATACAAGATGAACCTACAACATCTTGTAACACCAGAAAGCAAGATAGCTTCTAGGTTCATGTCAAAGGGCCCTAAGCCAACAAGGTTCCCAATGGCTAAAACTAGGATCAATTTGAGCATCAGTAAGGACAACAAATTTAAAAACTAAGTACGTTTAAGTCTGTGAGTTTCTCTTTTTTTCTTGAGATGAGTCTCGCTCTGTCACCTACACTGGGGTGCAGTGGAACGATGTTGGCACATTGCAACCTCTGCCTCCTGGGTTCAAGCCATTCTCCTGCCTCGGCCTTCCAAGTAGCTGGGATTACAGGCACATGCCACCATGCCTGGATAATTTTTGTATTTTTAGTAGAGATGGGGTTTCACCATGTTGGCCAGGCTGGTCTCAAAATCCTGACTTCAAGTGATCTGCCCGTCTTGGCCTCCCAAAGTGTTGGGATTACAGGCGTGAGCCACTGCGCCTGCGCCTTTTTTTTTTTTTTTTGAGAAGGGTCTCACACTGTTGCCCAGGCTGGCATGCAGTGGCACAAACATGGCTTACTGCAGCCTTGACCTCCTGGGATCAAGTGATTCTCCCAACCTCAGCTTCCCAAATATCTGGGACTACAGGCACCTGTCACCATGCCCAGCTAGTTTTTATTTTTATTTTTTGTAGAGACAGAGTCTCTCCATGTTGCCCAGCCCAGAGCTGTTTTAAAAATTTCTTATTTGGGCTGGGCATGGTGGCTCACACCTGTAATCCTAGCACTTTGGGAGGCTGAGGTGGGAGGACTGCCTGGGCCCAGGAGTTCAAAATCAGCCTGGGCAGCATGGTAAGACCCCATCTGTACAAAAAATACAAAAAATTAGCTGAGTATGGTGGCACACACCTATAGTCCCAGCTACTCGGGAGGCTGAGCCAGTAGGATCACATTAGCCCAGGAAGTCGAGGCTGCAGTGAGTTGTGATTGCGCCCCTACACACTAGCCTGGGTAACAGTGTAAGACCCTATTTCCAAAAAAAACCAAAATCCTTATTTGAAACAAATACTGAAATATATAATAGAAGAAATGGGTTCTCCTATAGTAAAGCTAGAATTTGCTTCAAAATAATCAGGGGAGTGGGAAAGGAAATGAGAAAGGCTATGGATAAAACAATTTTGGTCTTTCCCAAAACAGTGAGTTGATAACTACAGCTGGGGACAGATACATAGAGTTCATTAAACTCTTCTACTTCTGTATCTTTTGTATATATTTCAAATTTTCCATGATAAAAACCCCCTACCTTGGCTCAAAGATCTACTTCCCATTTGGCAAGTCCAAACTCATCTGCATTGTTTTCGAGTACCCTCTACACACAGTCAATGCAACTTATTACTTCTCCCTAACCTCCACCTTCCTTAGCATGCGAGTCTCTGGGTGCATACATGGCTCATTCCTCTGTTTGTCTTTGCTTGAATCATGTCTTCTAACCCCAGTGTCCTGCTTTCCTATCCAGTCTTTTTTCTTTTTTTTTTTTTTTACAAGGACCAAATCAAGTCCTACCTTTTTCATAAGAGTTTGCCACAAAAATAATTTTTTAAAATTAGATTTATAGGCTGGCACGGTGGCTCACGCCTGTAATCCCAGCACTTTGGAAGGCCGAGGCAGGTGGATCACTAGGTCAGGAGTTCAAGACCAGCCTGGCCAAGATGGTGAAACCCCATCTCTACTAAAAATACAAAAAAAAATTAGCCAGGCATGGCAGATACCTGTAATCCTTGCTACTCAGGAGGCAGAGGCAGAGAATTGCTTAAACCTGGGAGGTGGAGGTTTCGATGGGCTGAGATCATGCCACTGCACTCCAGCCTGAGCGACAGAGTAAGACTCAGTCCCCCCCAACAACAAAAAAAATTACACTGATAAATCTTATTCTCCCAACACAGCTAAAAAAAATATTTACCAGATGAAACCCACTCTGCTAAGTGCTAAACTATGCCCTTCGCTGTTTCATGGTCATGGTTTCTTAAGGCAGCAATCCTAGAACTCAAGTCACTTTTTTTTCAAATAGGCAACATATGGACATGGTTCAGAATTTAAAAGCAACATAAAGGATGTGAGGCAAAAGTCTCCCTCCTACACCATTCCCAGCCTGACCTCCCCTTCCTAAAGGTAACTAGCCACAGCCTTATCTCCCTCTATCCTCTAAAGCTAGGGCTTTCAAACATTTTAACCACAATCCATTGTAAATGATCCTTTTCATATTGCAACCTAGTTCTCTCTCACTCTCATACACACACTTAAATGTATTTATGTAACCAAAGTTTCATGAAATACTCTTACACTCAGGTAGTTTCTATTCTGCTCTATTTATTCCTTTTCTTTCCTTTTTTTTTTTTTAAAAAGCTAACCATAATCCCCCAAATTAGTTTTGTTTTCTACTAATAGGTAGCAATCTGTGGCCTAAAAAGTACTGCTATAAAAATAGCACAGAAGTAAACACAGAGATCCCCCAGTTAAAAAAAAAAACAAAACATACTACATTGGCTGAAGTGAACCACTGGCTCAAGTCTTACTTCAGGTGGTGTAAATAAAACTTGATGAGAATAAGAAAACTACACTAAAGAACACTGTCCATATAGCTCTAAATCAAACAGAAGCAACAGGGAGAAACAAAGCTATTATAAGGTGAAATAGAACTAAAACCAGCAGCCACTGGCATCAATATGTATACTCTCAATGGAGACTTAGTTTTACAAGACTGAAAAAAAAAACAAAACACCCCACTAAGCTGAAATAAATATTCTTTTCAAAGAAAGGTCATAGAATTTTAAAGAAGGCAGAGAGCATGACTCCAACCCTCCCATTTCTCCAACAAGGAAGCAGAAATCCAGAAAGGTTTCCAGTGCTCTACCCACTGTGGTGAAATGCTGACAGAAAGCACTCACTGTAGTTCCTAAAGAATGATGCTGATACAGGCTAACACATCAGTGGCTATGATTCTTTCTTATAACTGTCTCTCAAACAAAAGGGAACCAATGGATTGCCACTACCTTGTCCTTGGGGATCTTCCAGGTACATCACGTACACCGGAGTTCCCAAAATATGGTTCCCAGACCAGCAGCATCAGCCTCTCCGGAGAACTGTTCCTGGGTCATACCCCCTCCTCCCTAGTTCAGATAAAAGACATCCCTTGAGAAAATTCCATAGCCTTGGGATATCATCTCTCAGATGAGGTAAAACTCACCTCATCAAATGACCTGTGTGGACGGATAACCATTTGGGATTCATATGATCTGACCCTGACAAATTCTGGAGACTCTGGCACACTCGGATGCTCCACAGCACTGGTAAGGAGGAAAGGAGAAGCAAACTCTTAGTAATGTCTATATATAAAACAACAGGGGAGCTAAGTTAAGGGGAAGGCCTAAAAGGCTGGCTCTGATTTTTTAAAATACACGCCAACAGAGGAGTCACTAAGATGAATAAATACAAACTAAGTTCTAAAAATCAAGTGAAGGGGCTGGGCACAGTGGCTCATGCCTGTAATCCCAGCACTTTGGGGGGCCAAGGCAGGTGGATCACCTGAGGTGATCCTGAGGTCAGGAGTTCAAGACCAGCCTGACCAACATAGAGAAACCCCGTCTCTACTAAAAATACAAAATTAGCTGGGCATGGTGGCACATGCCTGGAATCCCAGCTACTCGGGAGGCTGAGGCAGGAGAATCGCTTGAACCCGGGAGGCAGAGGATGCGGTGAGCTTAGATCACACCATTGCACTCCAGCCAGGGCAACAAGAGTGAAACTCCATCTCAAAAAAAAAAAAAAAAATGACATGAAGGCCAGACGTGGTAGCTCATGCCTGCAATCCCAGCACTGGGAGGCCAAGGCAGGAAGATAACTTAAGGCCAGGAGTCCAAGAACAGCCTGGACAACACTGTGGAACCCTGCCTCTACAAAAAATTAATTAATTAATTAATTAAAAATGAAGTGAGTTCCTTTGGTAATTTATGGCTCACTATGCTGTGGGTCAAAAATAACAGCACTTCTTTTAACTACCAACGTTAAAGAACTCAAAAAAACACTTTAACTAAAAGCTTGTATGTCTCCATTCTTCCTAGACGGTCAGAGCCCCCTCATCTTCTAGCTGGATGGATAGGGCACTGGCTGCAGAGAAGCCTGTGGGAGACTCACCAGGGCACTAAGAATATGCAAACTCAGGTACGCAGGAATGAAGAGCGCAGCTAAAGAACTAAGCAAGAGCCACAGGCAGCCATACATACCGCGACACCAACACCATCATGTTGTTTTCCTGATCCACACTATACCGCCGAACATAAACATAATCCCGCGAGTACATTGGATACTAAAGAAATGGAGGGACAGGATTAGTGGTCTGTATCACACAAACTTGGAGAGAGACAAAAACAGAAGTAAAAATACTCACAGGAAAATGGGTTACCCAGTGAAGAACCTCAGAACCACTAACCACATCCCTCTCAATCACCTCCAGCTTGATCACCAGGGCATCCCACTTTTTTCTATACTCTGTGTCTAGCTGCAGAAAGAGAAAAGACCATGAAGACCCACAAACAAAAATGCAGAAGACTTTCCGGATGCTCTGGTCTCTGACCCAAGAACCTTATTACAAGGAGATAGTAAACTGACCTAACAGACAGTGCTGAAATGTGAGAGATGTGACTGTTTACTACAGATGATTCTTTCAACATCACTTTGTACAGGCTAATGTCATTACGCTGAATGTGCATCTTAAAAAGACAAACCAAGGAAAAGTGTAACAGAATATATTTTAATAGACACATCTGGGAAAAAACAATATATAGTCATATGAATATGTAAGGATAAGACAATTCTAAAAGGTTTTAAACAATGAAAGTCCAAAAGTATTAAGTAGACATGTCACGCACAAAAATGCAAGTGGCATATTTTTTTAAATTTCTGGCATCACTAGTAACTGAAGAATTTCAAATTAAGACAGATATACCATATACATAAAAACAATAAAAATTCACTACAAATCAACAAAATCTAGTGCCTCAGGGGAAAGTGCATTTGCATATTTGAGTGATATTAGAGTGATTAGAGCATATTAGAGTGATTAGAGCAATATCGCATATTAGCAATAACGAACTAGTTATTGAAGTCTGGCAAAACAAATGAAAAATCCAGAAAGAAAAAATTTTTCTTCTAGAACTCTGGGTGATCCCACCTCCCTGTTTCATTTTTTTAAACATCTTCCACCACAAGGAGGAAAGCAGTCTTTGAACAGATACTCTTCATCTTCATGAAATAAATGCTTGGCCAACATAGTAGCTCACATCTGTAATCCCAGCACTTTGGGAGGCCAAGGCAGGAGGATCACTTGAGCCCAGGAGTTCAAGACCAGCCTAGGAGGCATAGGGAGACACTGTCTCTAAGGGAAAAAAATTTTAATTAGCCAAGTGTGGTGGCGCATGCCTCTAAGCCTGGAAGCTGAGGTGGGAGGATCACTGAGTCCAGGAAGCAGAGGCTACAGTGAGCCATTATGACACCACTGCACTCCAGCCTGGGTGACACAGTAGGACCTGGTCTCAGGGAGGGCTTTCACTATGGAAATGTTCTGGATTTGAGGTTAAAGAGATGCAACAACTAAATATAATCCTGACTATGTCTGTACTAAAGGGAAAATGCTATAAAGAACATTACTGAGTCAAATCATAAAACCGGAATACAAACAGAAGACTACATGAAAGTGCTGCATCAGTGTTACTTACTGATTTCAATAATGGTATCATGGTTAGTTAAGAAAATATGGTTAGTTTTAAGAAATACACACTGGAAGAATTTAGGAATAAAGGGCTATGACGTATGTAACTTATTCTCAAGTTGTTTTGGAAAAAAAACAAGAAAGCCTCACAAAATACATTAAAGTATTCATATCCATTCCTCTATCTGATCTTCCCAAGAGTCCTGTGGGAGGGTAAAATGGATCTCACCACCATGGGACAGATAAAGAAATTCTAAGTCAAATGTTTACCTAAATGCTATGCAATGTGAGATGACAGGTAGATAGATGGATGTATTGAAGCCAGTGTCATCTGAGTCAGAGAAATTATTCATGTAGACAGTAGCAATTGATATTCAAGGCAGCTCCAAATCTGGAGAGAAAAATTAACTCACCTGAACATTGAAGAACTGCCGAGGTGTCACATCTGTATAGGTTCCAAAAACTAGAATGACAAGAAAGAATAAGGGATGCTTGCCATACTCCGGTCACTCACCTTGTTTCTATCACTTAGCAATGTTTTAGTTCTGAAGTAATAAGAGATCTTAAAGTCAGGTTCAGAAAGTAGAAGTCATATTAGAGCAACAAAGAAAGAGAAAGATGATCTATAGCAAAGATGACACTGAAACATTTGTCATCTGGGAGAAGAAAAACAACAAAAAACCATGCCAAATTTTCTGAGAAACAACCAGAACAGTTTAGAGAAGTATGAGGAACAAAAATCCCGTGCACGTGAGCAACTATGGAACAAAAAAGACCTGTGCTCACCTCGGTACTGGTAGAGGTGGGTGCCTGTAATTGGGCGCCGCCACAGCTTAAAGTGTTTCTTATCCATCACCATTTCCCAAGGTTGCTCTTTGTCCTCCAAATCTTCATTCCCTTCTGTTTGGGCTTTTGGTTCTGGAGTGTGGCACTGGACCCCAGAGCTCTGAAACATATTTGACATTTCTTCCAACCGCTTCATCTCATTAATGGATCTGGAAAGGAGAAAAAGAGCCATGGTGAGGTGGTTAGTCAGCCTTGTGAAATGAAGGGTCCACCACGCCCAACCTTTTATTTTTTAAGAGACAGAGTCTTAAAAAAATAAGAGGCCTGTGCAAGAAGGTTATACCGTAAACCACAGTATGTAGTATATAAACAGTACGCAGTATAGTGAATTAAAATTGAGTTCCTGAGTTTGAATCTTAGTCCAACGCTCATTAACTAGAATATTATTTAACCAGTTCCTATTTCTAAATCTATAAAAAGGAAATAATAGTACCTATCTCGAGGCTGGGTATAAAGATTACAAACGAAGTGTCAAGTGCTTAATATTTATGGACAGGCAAAGCAGCTCAAGTCTGTAGTCCCAGCACTTTGGGAGACTGAGGCAGGAGGATTGCTTGAGGCCAGATTCGAGACCAGCCCAGGAAACACAGTGAGGCCTTAGCTCTAAGAAAAAATTTTAAAAATCAGCCAGGTGTAATGGCATGTGCCTGTAGTCCCAGCTATAGGCTGAGGTGGGAAGATCACTTGAGCCCAGGAGTTTGAGGCTGTGGTGAGTGATAATTGTGCCACTGTACTCCAGTCTGGTCACAGAGTAAGACTGTCTCTTAAAAAATAAAAGGCTGGGCACAGTGACTCATACCTGTAATCCCAGGAGGTCAAGGTGGGAAGATCACCTGAGATCAGGAGTTCGATACCAGCCTGGACTCATGGTGAAATCCCATCTCTACTAAAAATACAAAAATTAGCTGGGCATGGCAGTGGGTGCCTGTAATCCCAGCTACTTGGGAGGTTAAGGCAGGAGAATCACTTGAACCCAGGAGGCGGAGGTTGCAGTGAGCCGAGATTGCACCGTTGCTCTCCACCCTGGGCAACAGAGTGAGACTCCATCTCTAAAATAAATAAATAAAGTAAAATAAAAGTTAAGTATTTAGTATCTGGCACATAAGTAGCCCTCAAATGCTAACTATGAAGGTTTGTGGTTTTAAAATGTCAATTGATATCTTTTGTTCATTTCTTATTGGGTTGTCTTATTATAAGTAAATATATTTTCCCCCTTGTTTTTACATGATAAATTCACATACCAGAAGATTCATTCTTTTACAATGTATAAATCAGTACTTGTTAGTGTATTCACAAGGTTGTACAACCATCACCCCTATCTAATTCCAGAACATTTTTATCACCCCCCAAAAGAAACCTCTACCCATCATTACTCACTTCCCATTCCTGCCTCCCTCCAGCCCTAGGCAGCCACTAATCTACTTTCTGTCTGTATGGAGTTTCCACTTCTGGACATTTCAAGTAAATGGAATCATATGATACGTATCATCATATGATATGTAACCAGCCTGGCCGACATGGCGAAACCCCATCTCTACTAAAAATACAAAAATTAGCCAGGTGTGATGGCGGGAGCCTGTAATTCTAGCTACTTGGGAGGCTGAGGAAGGAGAATTGCTTGAGCCCGGGAGGCGGAGGATGCAACGAGCTGAGATGGTGCCGCTTCACTCCAGTTTGGGCAAAAGAGCGAAACTGTCACAAAAAAAAAAAAAAAAAAAAGAATACTGCTGTAGACATTTGTATATAAACCTTCATATAGATACATTCTCAATTCTCTTGGGTAGATTCCTAGGAGCAGATTTGCTGGGTCACTTAACTTTTTAAGCAACTGCCAAACTGTTTTCCAAACAATCATACCATTTTATATTAACATCAGCAATGTTTGAGGATTCCAAATGCTCCATATCCTTGGTTCTACGTGCCCCACTTATTATTGTCCATCTTTTCAACTTCAGCCATCTTAGTGGGTGTGCAATGTTATCTCATTGTTCTTGATTGATATTTCCCTAACCTTTTCATGTGCTTATCCTATTCTTGATAGTATCTTTTGATGCACAGAAGTTTTAATTCTGATGAAGTTTATTTTTTCTTTGATTGCTTATGTTTTTGCTGTTATATCTAAGAAACCATTGCCCAATCCAAAGTCACAAGAACTTTTGCCTATATTTTCTTCTAAGAGTTTTTTATAATTTTAGCTTACATTAGATCTCTACCTTATTTTGAGTTAATGTTTGTGTATGGTAATGAGGTAGGAGTCTAAACTCATTCTTTTGCATGTGCTTCTCCAGGTGACCCAGTGCCATTTGTTGAAAAGGCTTCCTTCCCCAGTGAATTATCCTGGCACCATTGTTGAAAATTGACCAAAAATTTTAGGATTTATTTCTAGACTCAATTTTATTCTAACAATCTAGATGTCTATCCTTATGCCAGTACCACAGTGTCATTACTGTAGCTTTGTAATAATAAGCTTTGAAATTGGGCACCATGAGTCCTCCAAACTTTGTTCTCTTTTATCAAGACTGTTTTGGCTATTCTGAGTTCCTTTCATTTCCACATGAGTATCAAAATTGGCTTGCCAATTTCTGCAAAACTGCCTAGGATTTTGATAAGAACAACAATGAATTTATAGATCACTTACATGGTACTGCCATCTTAGCAATATTAAGTGTTCTAATCCATGAGCACAGGATGTCTTTCCATTTATTTGTCTTTTTAAACTTCTTCCAGTGATGTTTTGTTGTAGTGTCACACTTTTAGTCATACACTTTTGTTTGATTTATTCCTATGTACTTATTCCTTTTGATGCTACTGTAAATAAGATTGTTTTATTTTCAGATTGTTCTCATTGCTAGTGTATATAAGTATGACTTCTGTCACAGAACCTATTTCCTTGTCTGAAGAATTAAAAACAATAAATAAATAAATATGACTTCTGTGTACTGATTGATCTTATATCCCGCAAACTTGCTGAACTCATTTGTCAGCTCTAACAGTTTTCTGTGGATTCCTTAGTATTTTCCATATGTAAGATCATGTCAGCTACAAATAGAGAGCTTTATTTTTTCCTTTCCAATCTAAATGACTTTCATTTACTTCTCTTGCATAATTTTATTGGTTGTGATCTCCAGTACAATGTTGAACAGAAGAGGTGAGAGCAGAATCCTCATCTTGTTCCTGATCTTAGGGGAAAAGCATTCAGTCTTTCACCATTAACTACACTGTTAGCTATGTTTTTTGTAGATGCCTTTTTTTCGCTCTGTCACCCAGGCTGGAGTACAGTGGTGTGATCTTGTCTCACTGCAACCTCCACCTCCCGGGTTCAAGTGATTCTTCTGCCTCAGCCTCCCAAGTAGCTGAGACTACAGACACGCGCCACCATGCCCAGCTAATTTTTGTATTTTTAGTACAGATGGGGTTTCACCATATTGGCCAGGTTGGTCTTGAACTCCTGACCTTGTGATCCACCCACCTCAGCCCAAAGTGCTGGGATTACAGGCATCAGCCACCACACATGGCCTATAGATGCCTTTTATCAGCTGAAGGAAATTTCCTTCTATTCCCAGTCTGCTGTTTTCTTTTTTCTTTTCTTTCTTTTTTTTTTTTTTTTGAGACAGAGCTTCCCACGGTTGCTCAGGCTGTAGTGCAGGGGCATGATTTGGGCTCACTGCAATCTCTGCCTCCTGGGTTCAAGCAATTCTGCCTCAGCCTCCCAAGTAGCTGGGATTACAGGCATGCATCACCACGCCCAGCTAATTTTTTTTTGCATTTTTAGTAAAGACAGGATTTCACCATGTTGGCCAGGATGGTCTAGATCTCCTGACCTCGTGATCCACCCACCTCAGCCTCCCAAAGTGCAGGGATTACAGGCGTAAGCCACCGCTCCCAGCCATATTTTCTTTTTTGATCATAAAAGGAGGCTGGAATTTGTTGAATACCTTTTGTGTTTATTCAGATGATCACGTAGTTTTTGTCCTTTATTCTATTAATGTGGTGTATTAAACTGATTTTTGTATGAAGAACCAACTTTGCATTCCTTAGATAAATCCTACTTTTCATGGCATATAATCCATTTCATATGTTGCTAAATTCAGTTCGTTAGTATTTTGTTCAGGACTGCAAAAAGTTGCGTGGTTTTTTTGTTTGTTTTGAGCCCAGGCTGGAGTGCAATGGCGTAATCACAGCTCACTGCAGCCTTGACATCCCAAGCTCAGGTGATTCTCCCACTTCAGCTTCCCAAGTAGCTGGAATTACAGACATGTGCCACCACACGCAGCTAATTTGATTTTTGTATTTTCAGTAGAGATGGGGTGGAACCATGTTGCCCAGGCTGGTATTGAACTCCTGGGCTCAAATGATCCACTCACTAGCCTGGGCCTCCCAAAGTGCTGGGATTATAGGTGTTCACAGGCTGCAAAAAGTTTTAAAACAGGAAAAACAATACCATATACTGTACTATGTATCATTCGGTGCAATATACATATGTATAAAAACAGGCCTGGTGCAGTGGCTCATGCCTGTGATCCCAGCAGTTTGGGAGACCAAAGTGGACGGATCACGAGATCAGGAGATCAAGACCATTCTGGCTAACATGGTGAAACTCCGTCTCTACTAAAAATACAAAAAATTAGCCGGGCGTGGTGGCACATACCTGAAGTGTCAGCTACTCGGGAGGCTGAGGCAGGAGAACCGCTTGAACCCGGGAGGCAAAGGTTGCAGTAAGCCGAGATCATACCACTGCATTCCAGCCTAAGTGCAGGGTGACAGAGTGAGACTTCGTCTCAAAAAAAAATAAATAAATAAAATAAGGAATTAGATACAACAAATAGGGATAACGGTGACATCTTGGAGAAAAAGAAAAATACAACTGGAAAAAGGTACAGAAGAAGCCTAAGTATATTTTAACATCTTATTTCTTAAAATAGCTGTATTTGTAATACTTATGTTATTCTTTAAACCTTTTTTATATATCTGAAACATTCTGTAATAATAATTTTTTTTATTTGGCTTATATTTTCCCCATAACCTCTTTTTTTCTGAGACAAAGTCTCGCTATGTTGCCAAAACTGGCCTCAAACTCCTGAACTTAGAAATCGTTTCACTTCAGCCTCTCAAGTAGCTGGGACTGCAGGCCTGTGCTACCATACCCAGT